GACCATGGTGAATAGTGGTGACCATGGTGGGTTGTGGTGACCATGGTGGGTTGTGGTGACCATGGTGAATAGTGGTGACCATGGTGGGTTGTGGTGACCATGGTGGGTTGTGGTGACCATTGTGGGTTGTGGTGACCATGGTGAATGGTGGTGACCATGGTGGGTTGTGGTGACCATGGTGGGTTGTGGTGACCATGTTGAATAGTGGTGACCATGGTGGGTTGTGGTGACCATGGTGAATAGTGGTGACAATGGTGGGTTGTGGTGACCATGGTGAATAGTGGTGACCATGGTGGGTTGTGGTGACCATGGTGGGTTGTGGTGACCATGGTGGGTTATGGTGACCATGGTGAATAGTGGTGACCATGGTGGGTTGTGGTGACCATGGTGGGTTGTGGTGACCATGGTGAATAGTGGTGACCATGGTGGGTTGTGGTCACCATGGTGGGTTGTGGTGACCATGGTGGGTTGTGGTGACCATGGTGGGTTGTGGTGACCATGGTGGGTTGTGGTGACCATGGTGGGTTGTGGTGACCATGGTGAGTAGTGGTGACCATGGTGGGTTGTGGTGATCATGGGGGGTTGTGGTGACCATGGTGAGTAGTGATGACCATGGTGGGTTGTGGTGACCATGGTGGGTTGTGGTGACCATGGTGGGTTGTGGTGACCATGGTGGGTTGTGGTGACCGTGGTGGGTTGTGGTGACCAGTGTGGGTTGTGGTGGGTTGTGGTGACCATGGTGGGTTGTGGTGACCATGGTGAGTAGTGGTGACCATGGTGGGTAGTGGTCACCATGGTGGGTTGTGGTGACCATGGTGAGTAGTGGTGACCATGGTGGGTTGTGGTGACCATGGTGGGTTGTGGTGACCATGGTGGGTTGTGGTGACCATGGTGGGCTGTGGTGACCATGGTGGGCTGTGGTGACCATGGTGGGCTGTGGTGACCATGGTGGGTTGTGGTGACCATGGTGGGTTGTGGTGACCATGGTGAGTTGTGGTGACCATGGTGGGTTGTGGTGACCATGGTGGGTTGTGGTGACCATGGTGAGTAGTGGTGACCATGGTGGGTAGTGGTCACCATGGTGGGTTGTGGTGACCATGGTGAGTAGTGGTGACCACGGTGGGTTGTGGTGACCATGGTGAGTAGTGGTGACCATGGTGGGTTGTGGTGACCATGGTGAGTAGTGGTGACCATGGTGAGTAGTGGTGACCATGGTGGGTTGTGGTGACCATTGTGGGTTGTGGTGACCATGGTGGGTTGTGGTGACCATGGTGAATGGTGGTGACCATGGTGGGTTGTGGTGACCATGGTAGGTTGTGGTGACCATGTTGAATAGTGGTGACCATGGTGGGTTGTGGTGACCATGGTGAATAGTGGTGACCATGGTGGGTTGTGGTGACCATGGTGAATAGTGGTGACCATGGTGGGTTGTGGTGACCATGGTGGGTTGTGGTGACCATGGTGAGTAGTGGTTACCATGGTGAGTAGTGGTGACCATGGTGGGTTGTGGTGACCATTGTGGGTTGTGGTGACCATGGTGGGTTGTGGTGACCATGGAGGGTTGTGGTGACCATGGTGGGTTGTGGTGAACATGGTGAGTAGTGGTGACCATGGTGGGTTGTGGTGACCATGGTGAGTAGTGGTGACCATGGTGAGTAGTAGTGACCATGGTGGGTTGTGGTGACCATGGTGAGTAGTGGTGACCATGGTGAGTAGTGGTGACCATGGTGGGTTGTGGTGACCATGGTGGGTTGTGGTGACCATGGTGAGTAGTGGTGACCACGGTGGGTTGTGGTGACCATGGTGAGTAGTGGTGACCATGGTGGGTTGTGGTGACCATAGTGGGTTGTGGTGACCATGGTGGGTTGTGGTGACCATGGCGAGTAGTGGTGACCATGGTGAATAGTGGTGACCATGGTGGGTTGTGGTGACCATGGTGAGTTGTGGTGACCATGGTTGGTTGTGGTGACCATGGTGGGTTGTGGTGACCATGGTGGGTTGTGGTGACCATGGTGAATAGTGGTGACCATGGTGGGTTGTGGTGACCATGGTGGGTTGTGGTGACCATGGTGAATAGTGGTGACCATGGTGGGTTGTGGTGACCATTGTGGGTTGTGGTGACCATGGTGGGTTGTGGTGACCATGGTGAATGGTGGTGACCATGGTGGGTTGTGGTGACCATGGTGGGTTGTGGTGACCATGTTGAATAGTGGTGACCATGGTGGGTTGTGGTGACCATGGTGAATAGTGGTGACCATGGTGGGTTGTGGTGACCATGGTGAATAGTGGTGACCATGGTGGGTTGTGGTGACCATGGTGGGTTGTGGTGACCATGGTGGGTTGTGGTGACCATGGTGAATAGTGGTGACCATGGTGGGTTGTGGTGACCATGGTGGGTTGTGGTGACCATGGTGAATAGTGGTGACCATGGTGGGTTGTGGTGACCATGGTGGGTTGTGGTGACCATGGTGGGTTGTGGTGACCATGGTGGGTTGTGGTGACCATGGTGGGTTGTGGTGACCATGGTGAATAGTGGTGACCATGGTGGGTTGTGGTGACCATGTTGAGTAGTGGTGACCATGGTGAGTAGTGGTGACCATGGTGGGTTGTGGTGACCATGGTGGGTTGTGGTGACCATAGTGGGTTGTGGTGACCATGGTGGGTTGTGGTGACCATGGTGGGTTGTGGTGACCATGGTGGGTTGTGGTGACAATGGTGGGTTGTGGTGACCATGGTGGGTTGTGGTGACCATAGTGGGTTGTGGTGACCATGGTGGGTTGTGGTGACCATGGTGAGTAGTGATGACCATGGTGAATAGTGGTGACCATGGTGGGTTGTGGTGACCATGGTGGGTTGTGGTGACCATGGTTGGTTGTGGTGACCATGGTGGGTTGTGGTGACCATGGTGGGTTGTGGTGACCATGGTGAATAGTGGTGACCATGGTGGGTTGTGGTGACCATGGTGGGTTGTGGTGACCATGGTGAATAGTGGTGACCATGGTGGGTTGTGGTGACCATGGTGGGTTGTGGTGACCATTGTGGGTTGTGGTGACCATGGTGAATGGTGGTGACCATGGTGGGTTGTGGTGACCATGGTGGGTTGTGGTGACCATGTTGAATAGTGGTGACCATGGTGGGTTGTGGTGACCATGGTGAATAGTGGTGACAATGGTGGGTTGTGGTGACCATGGTGACTAGTGGTGACCATGGTGGGTTGTGGTGACCATGGTGGGTTGTGGTGACCATGGTGGGTTATGGTGACCATGGTGAATAGTGGTGACCATGGTGGGTTGTGGTGACCATGGTGGGTTGTGGTGACCATGGTGAATAGTGGTGACCATGGTGGGTTGTGGTCACCATGGTGGGTTGTGGTGACCATGGTGGGTTGTGGTGACCATGGTGGGTTGTGGTGACCATGGTGGGTTGTGGTGACCATGGTGGGTTGTGGTGACCATGGTGAGTAGTGGTGACCATGGTGGGTTGTGGTGATCATGGGGGGGTTGTGGTGACCATGGTGAGTAGTGATGACCATGGTGGGTTGTGGTGACCATGGTGGGTTGTGGTGACCATGGTGGGTTGTGGTGACCATGGTGGGTTGTGGTGACCGTGGTGGGTTGTGGTGACCATAGTGGGTTGTGGTGGGTTGTGGTGACCATGGTGGGTTGTGGTGACCATGGTGAGTAGTGGTGACCATGGTGGGTAGTGGTCACCATGGTGGGTTGTGGTGACCATGGTGAGTAGTGGTGACCATGGTGGGTTGTGGTGACCATGGTGGGTTGTGGTGACCATGGTGGGTTGTGGTGACCATGGTGGGCTGTGGTGACCATGGTGGGCTGTGGTGACCATGGTGGGCTGTGGTGACCATGGTGGGTTGTGGTGACCATGGTGGGTTGTGGTGACCATGGTGAGTTGTGGTGACCATGGTGGGTTGTGGTGACCATGGTGGGTTGTGGTGACCATGGTGAGTAGTGGTGACCATGGTGGGTAGTGGTCACCATGGTGGGTTGTGGTGACCATGGTGAGTAGTGGTGACCATGGTGGGTTGTGGTGAACATGGTGGGTTGTGGTGACCATGGTGGGTTGTGGTGACCATGGTGGGCTGTGGTGACCATGGTGGGCTGTGGTGACCATGGTGGGCTGTGGTGACCATGGTGGGTTGTGGTGACCATGGTGGGTTGTGGTCACCATGACGAGCTATTGCGACAATACTTTATTATGGTGACCATCCCACATAATGGTTACTATGACATGTTATCATGCTATGTTATGGTGATTATGCAGAGTTACTGTGACCATATACTATGGTGACCATGAGTTACTGCTACCAAATAATATTATGGTGACCGTGACTAGTTATTGTGACCATATAATGTTATGGTGTCTGTGGTGAGTTATTTTGCCAATACAATGTTATGGTGACCATGAAGAATTAGTGACCATTATTTGTTATGAAGACAATTACGAGCTATTTTGTTTTAAATATTATTAACCATATTAATATTTTACTAATAACACGTTTGGTATCCATGACGATCGAGGTATTGTGAGCATATGTTGTTGTGATCATGATGAGTTATGGTGACCATACCACATTAGAGGGACCAGGACGCGCCTTTGTCACAGTACTATGTTATAGTCACCATACTGTGTTATGGTCACTATATCATGATATGGTGACCAATGGCGAGTTATTGTGGGCATACCACACGTTGCAGTCACAAGTATGGTGACAGTATCTTGTTATGGTTACTGAACTATCATTATTTTGGTGTACACGACAAGTTATAGTGACGAACTACATTATCATCATTAATGTTACAATGATCAACCCGCACCATGGTCACCATATACCATCATAGTAAATGAACCTCTCTTTTTTCATGGTTACTATATCCTATCAACGAATCACTGTACAGTCACTATACTATTATGGTGATGTAACACTCACCGTTATATATATATTGTGTTACGAATGCCTTAACTCAGTGTGTATTTGACAGAATAAAGGGAAGCGGCTGCAGGAGGGAGCCCATATCAACCGTTCCCTTCTTGCTCTGGGTAACTGCATCAACGCCCTAGCTGAAGGTCGCGCCAAATACGTCAACTTCCGCGACTCTAAACTCACACGACTCTTGAAGGTAAACTATTGTGAAAATAATTACAATATGTAAACACACCATGTGTCGTGTTTAGTTATATAGTAACCTCGGTATTACCTTGAGTTTACCAATGTTTACTGTCTTAATGTTAGTTTCTGTCACTCGTTTTCTAACTCGCAAATCACTACAGATTCTAAAGTAATCTGTTAATTATGATAATCCACCAAAATGACAAAGGTGATTATGGCTGTGTTAGAAAGTCAAACAACAATCATCATTGTTTTGTGATCCATGATTCGTTGTTAGTGTTTTGAGTATGTCCATGTATATAATGACAAAGTATAACGCTTCATATATATATATATATATATATATATATATATATATATATATATATATATATATATATATATATATATATATATATATATATATATATATATATATATATATATATATATATATAAAATAAAAAAATGTCAATGACACATAAAGGAATAAAAATATTTTATTCATATTTATTATAATACAATATATATATATATATATATATATATATATATATATATATATATATATATATATATATATATTCCATTGAATATGACCGCATATTCTGTATTTATTATTAATATATATATATATATATATATATATATATATATATATATATATATATATATATATATATATATATATATATATATACATGGTGGGTTGTGCAAAGTCATCGAGCATCCATCGATGCAAAAAGTCTTAGTCGAAATGAACTTGAAACCGGCCATATACTGCAGGTATGTTGACGACATTTTTACACAGGTACCTGATGTCAGACATCTGCAAGAGCTGAAGGAGGCATTTGAACAGAGTTCCGTGCTGCGTTTCACTTACGAGATGGAGAAGGATGGGAAGCTGCCCTTTCTAGATGTAACAGTCATGGAAAGGAGCGGAGTTTTCCACACTGCAGTCTACACTAAGGAAACGAACATAGGAATGTGCCTGAATGCCAACAGTGACTGCCCGGACAGGTACAAGAGGAGTGTTGTTAACTCTTATGTCGACCGTGCTCTCAGCCACAGCTCAGAATGGAAACAAGTCGACGAAGAACTCTGTAGGGTAAGGCAGGTCCTAGTCAACAACGGCTTCTCCAATGGTTTCGTGGAAGACATCATAAGAAGGAAAGTAAAACGCCATGCAACCTCTGAAGAGACAACTAACACAACATCTATACCCCCTATTTGACTATTTTACAGGAACGTCTTTTCCACAGCCCATAAAACGGAGGAAAGGGTCCTGAAAGATATTGTCAGTAGAAACGTTATCCCTACAGACAAAAATCAGAAGATACAACTGACAATTTACTATAAAACTAAAAAAACGGCCAGCCTACTCATGAGAAACTCTCCAGACACAAAGCAGAACGTTTTAAGAGACCAACGTCGTCTATGCCTTCAAATGCCCTCTTGGGGATTGTAAGCCTCAAAAAACTCTGTATATAGGCAAGACAACAACATCTCTTTCCAGGCGTTTAACGATGCATAAGCAACAGGGTTCCATTAAGGAACATATAGCCTCTTCCCACAACCAAACCATCACCAGAGAAATCTTAGCAAACAACACAGAAATCATCGATAGATACAGCGATAGCATGCGGCTCGACGTCTGCGAGGTACTACACATCAAGAAGTCAACACCAGGAATCAACAGCCAATTAATGCACAACTATATTCTACCCACTTCAAGACTCCGCTCCAATATAGAAGCATCAAGAAATATGGGCCAATAAAAATAGGCCTTCTGCAGTTACCTACTTTTAATACCTGTTTGTATTTCATTGTTTCGTGTTCTGTCTTGTGTTAAAAGTTTATTTTCACGTCATCCAAAACTATTGTAACATGTCACTTCACCCAAATGTAGGTATAAAAACTCGAAAGATGTTTAAGCTCTATTCAGTTAAAGTTGTATGTGTGTGTGTAAACTAAAGTCTTTGAAAATGTAATAAGTTTTACGAAACGTGCTCAAGTGTCGCGTCAGACTAGAAATAAAAATGAATTTTGGAGAATTGATCTTTGAATTACCACCAACAGTGAAAAGAAACGTAAGAAAGATTGAGAAAATTCGTGTTAGAATTATTAATCTTACTTTTTCGGTCATATTTAATAATATATATATATATATATATATATATATATATATATATATATATATATATATATATATATATATATATATATATATATGTCGTACCTAGTAGCCAGAACGTACTTCTCAGCCTACTATGCAAGGCCCAATTTGCCTAATAAGCCAAGTTTTGACGAATTAATTGTTTTTCGACTACCTAACCTACCTAACCTAACCTAACCTAACTTTTTCGGCTTCCTAACCTAACCTAACCTATAAAGATGGGTTAGGTTAGGTTAGGTAAGGTTGGTTAGGTTCGGTCATATATCTACGTTAATTTTAACTCCAATAAAAAAAAATTGACCTCATACATAATGAAATGGGTAGCTTTATCATTTCATAAGAAAAAAATTAGAGAAAATATATTAATTCAGGAAAACCAGGCTTATTAGGCAAATCGGGCCTTGCATAGTAGGCCGAGAAGTGCATTCTGGCTACTAGGTACGACATATATATATATATATATATATATATATATATATATATATATATATATATATATATATATATATATATATATATATATATAAGAGTTTGTGTTCGTCTCTTCCCGCCTCACACAAGTGCTTGCTCGTTATACAACACAGTATTCTGTCTACAGGACGCTCTGTCTGGCAACTGCAGGACGGTGATGATCGCTCACGTCTCCCCCTGTCACCTCCACCGCGAGGAGACCAGGAACACCCTCATCTATGCTGACAGAGCCAAGAATATTTCCAAACAGGTGATATGAAGAACATGAGAGTATTCACAAGGGGCCGATGTTAAGGTCATTAACATTAAATGGGTTCAAGACTTGAGATGATTTGCCAGTTGGGAATTATCTCACATTAGCTCTCAAAGGAGTCAAGACTTAACATTATTCATAAGTTGATGATCTTTGGTTATTTTCTAATGTTATTTTGTGGTGTTTAATGAAATATTTACTCGTATCCACCTTCTCTCTTAACCTTCCACTCCGTCTTCCATCTTTATACCCGTTGTCCTTCCTTTACTCGCGTAATCTAATATCCCCTTCCTCATCTTACCTCTCTTCCTCCTCTATCAGTTTTGTGTCTGTCACTTTCTCTCTTTCTATGTCTCTGTCTCAGTCTCACTTATCTCTTTCTATGTAAGAGGTAAGTCTCAATGTATATATTGGTTTTTACCGTCTCAGTCTGTCTCTTTTCTACCTTTCTCTGTGCCATTCTCTCTCAGTCTGAAGTCTTAAGTGCTTATGTCTCTTTAATAAAAATGTACCTAATTTATTACTAAAATGAGGAAGAAATTTAGGTTAAGATGATGTAAGAAAGGTCGAATCTTGGAGGATACAATATTAGAAGATATGAACAGATACTGGTTTTCCTTAAATTTAAACGAAAAAAGACAATTTCTACAATTTAAGGAAAACAATTGAATAAGGAAAATGAGATCTAAATATATTGAGAAGGATAACCTTAAGAAGTTCCCTGGCACACTGTCAGTGTTATGGCAGCATGTGGAGCATATTGGTGGCCTTAAGAAGGAGCAGGTCTTGTGTTGTCTTTGTGGACCTGTAGCATATTGGCGGCATCTAATATATTCTAATCTGATATATATACAGGATAAGATACCCCGAAGGGCGAGCTTGGAAGTGGGGACATAAGAAGAATAAGGGGGGGTGAGAGGAAGTAGATTTTGTAGGAGAACACGTGCCAGGGCTAAACCCAGCTGCGTGGCGATAGGTTGTGGCATTTGAGGCAAGTACTCAGGCGGGTGCCTCAGGGGCAACATCAGGGATATCACAAAACTCACATCATCACAGTGACTGACTTAAAAGCGTCAGGGCTGAATGTTTACAGATGGTTTGTGCTGGGTGTTGAGAGCTGAAGTTTAACGAAATACAGAGTTAGGAGGAGGATCCTGGATAGAAGGGGAAGAGATCGTGTTTCGTGATTGTCTAAGAGTGTTTGTAAGATAAAGTCAACGTGTTGTTCGTGATAAGAAAGTAGTGTGTCAAGATGTTTGTCTAATAAAGTTTTCTAGTAGACAATGACTGCAAGAATGTTGGTACTATCATGAAGACTTTCGCTGGTACTGAAATCGTCCCATCGAGTATTCAGTACCCATCTAAGTATTCTATTCTGTATTCTCTGAAGTTTTTGTTTGTTAGTGGGTGCGGCTAAGGAAAGAGCTATTGGAGCATGTGTTAGGAGAGGTCTAATGAGTGCTTTGTAGAGGTGCATTTTAGTATCAGGTTTTGCAGATCTAAGTCAGTACGTTTTATTCATAGCCTGGAGAGCTATTGCATGTTTCGGTGCAGTGTGTGTGTGTGTGTGTGTGTGTGTGTGTGTGTGTGTGTGTGTGTGTGTGTGTGTGTGTGTGTGTGTGTGTGTGTGTGTGTATGTGTGTGAGTGTGAGTGTGAGTGTGAGTGTGAGTGTGTGTGTGTGTGTGTGTGTGTGTGTGTGTGTGTGTGTGTGTGTGTGTGTGTGTGTGTGTGTGTGTGTGTGTGTGTGTGTGTGTGTGTGTGTATATGTGTGTGTGAGTGTGAGTGTGTGTGTGGAAGAGTAATTGTCGATCATGTATTAGGCTAAGAACTGTGGTGGAAGGGAAGGGAAGGGAAATATCAGGGGAGAAAGCACCAAGCCCTTACGACTATATAGCACTGGGAAGGGTTCAGGATAAGGATTTGGGATGGGCCTGGGAGAAGGAATGGTGCCCGACCACTTGGACGGTGATTGAACGCCGATCTGCATGAAGCGAGATCGTCGCTCTACCGTCCAGCCCAAGTGGTGGTGGAAGGAGATATAGAGATGTTAGTAGGATTAGAGAGCGAATAGAGATGAACAGAAAGAGTGCGTACAGTGCCTTTACAGAAGAAGTAAGTGACTCTTGAAGTGTTGGAGTTTGTTTTAATGCGCCAGCCATACTTCTGTTATGTGACATTATCGAGTCCTGCTTGTGATCTTCGTGATAGTGTCCCAATGGAGTTGCTGGTGACAAGGTGAGAGACATCATCAGCGTAGCAGATGTCAAATAAAATGTGATAAATAGGGTCAGGAATGTCGTTGGTGTATAGGATGTAAAGTGTCGGGGCAAGAACAGAGCCTTGGGGAACACCGGCGTGTAAGTTGAAGTAGTCAGAGGTGATGAGTGCAGTACGAAGTCTTTGGTACTGATTGATGCTGATATAATTGGTCATGATATCTAAGGCGTCATGTGTGGACCGGTGAGGCCGGAATCCAAACTGTTTGTTAGTAAGTCATTGTCTTCCAGGTGCGTTCTGAGTCTGATGTTGACTAGCCTTTCAAAGACTTTGCAAAGTGTCTCTAAAAGGCTGATGGGTCTATAGTTTTTTGGGTCAGTGTGAATTATTCCCAGGTATTGGAATGAGAACAACAATGACAGATTTGAGGGTGAGAGGAAAATATCCAGATGCAAAAGAGGCGTTAAATAAGTTAGTGACAGCAGCAATGATAGACACGGAGAGTTGTGGAAGGCGGGTATGTCCAGTGCCAGACACCAGGGGCTCAGCCACGAGTGCCCATGAGAGCTGTCTTGACACCAGCTGGAGTCAGGGGAGTCTGTAGTTCAGTGCGTGAGTTGAGGTTGTCAAGGTGGATGAGGTCGTCAGGTGTGGTTTCATGTCTGTTTTGGTGTAGTCAGTTTTCAACTACTTCAATGTTGGGAAAGTCAGTTGGTTCAGGAGAATGTGGATGAAAAATGCGTTCCCAATGGTGTTTAAAAATATTAATTACTTCATCAGGTTTAGTGACTTTGTTGTTGTTATGTAGGAGGCATTTAAATGGTGTGTGAGATGCTCCTTGTAAGCGCTTGATTTGTTTCCGAAATTCCTGAGGTGCCAGTTTTCTCTGTTGTTTTGCTTGTTTAATGAGTTGTTTCCAGTGTTTTGTGTGGTCTTCATCTAGACTGTTAAGGATGTGTTATTTGTTAATGTTGTAAGGTTCCAGAGTGCTTGTCCTTAGCGATGTATACTGTGTAAGAATAGAGAATGATAACAAGATAAAAGGCGTTTTGTGCGAATGGAATGGGTGAAAGTGAAATGTGGTTTGTGTGTTGTTTTAGGAAAGGAGACGTTTGTAACATGGATGATGGTGTCTTAAATGTTGCGTGCTTGTGTGTCAATGTCAGTGTGATGTTTGTCATTGAATTCGTAAGTGAGATCAGTGTCATCAGTGCGTTGTTTGAACATGTCCCAATTTGCCCTATGGTATGAGGATTGAGAAGTGCTGGAGATGATAATAGGATTGGTGGATACTGTGAAAATTAAGGGAATATGATCAGAGCCCGTAATGGGTCCTGGTGAAATGTGGTGTTGTTGGTTGTTACCAAGTCTGTTGGTGAATATGAGATCAGGTCTGCCAGAACCTGTATGACTGAAAAAAGTGGGGAAGTCGGGACCAAGGAAGAATAGATGTTTTTGGATGTATATTTGGTGAAGCTGTTGGCCATGTTGATTTGTGGTATTGTGTTGGAATGTAGTGTGTTGTGTATTGAGGTCTGCAAGCAGGAAAACAGGCAAGTGAGTGTGATTGAAGAGAGTGGTGATGTCTTGCATGGGAACGCCAGTGTTAGGACAGATGTAGGTTGTGCAGATGATGAGAGGAACCATTTGTGTGTTGATTTTTATGGATAAGCCAGGGTAGAGTGTGTAGAAGTTCATGTTTATAGGAGGACTTTAAGATTATGGCAACGCCTTCATGTGCTTCATCAGGTAACTGGTAAGTTGAGTAGCCAAAGTGTCGGATTTTATACAAGTTTGTGATGTAAGTGCTGTTAAGAAGAAGCACACCAGGACGTTCAGTCTCAATAAAATCAGACATCAGGTGTCTAATGGTAAAGAATGCCTGTACATTGAACTGTATGATCTTTAGGAATGTGAAGAGTTAGGTTTGAGCTGTTTGGAGTGAACAAAGAACAGAAGGAGCTCTAGTTCGTTGGATGGTTTGATCACCGGCATATAAGCTACAGGCTGTAAGGGAAGGGGTCTTGTTAAATTTAATGGGAGCGGGACGATGTTTTGGAACGCGGAAGGTGTTACTAAGTCCATAGTTCACAGCTGAGGGTGGAAGAGAAGGGTCGGTAAGAGGGGGGGATTGGCAGGTGTCAGAATGATATATATTTGTTATTGCCAGTCTCCGTGGTTTAGTGGTAAGACACTCGCCTGGCGTTCCGCGAGCGCTTTGTCATGGGTTCATATCCTGGCCGGGGAGGATTTACTGGGCGCAAATCCTTAACTGTAGCCTCTGTTTAACTCAACAGTAAAATGTGTACCTGGTTGTAACAACGATTCTTCGCGGCGGGGATCGTATTCCAGGGACCTGCCCGAAATACTACACGTACTATTGGCTGTACAAGAATGTAACAACTCTTGTATATATCTAACAAAAAAAATAAACAAATTTGCAGAAGTGATGTCGGAAGTGGAAGGAATGTCAGGAGTGGGTCAGTGAGGAGAGAGGAGAGGTCAGTAGGTTGAGAGGAAGAGGCATTGGGATGAGAGGCATGGTCAGTGGGGGGAGTGACTGGATCAGTGGAGGGGAAAGGGAGAGTCAGGGTGAGGAAGGGTCGCGTTAGGAAAAGGTTGGATTAGTGTGTGCTGGACAACAGAAGTTGGGGTTCCGTTTTCTGTGTCAGTCATAGAAGCACTCGTCAAGGAAGTGTGGGGGACTGTAGAAGACGTGGTGAGTAGATGCTGTGTCAGAGTATGTACTGTGGGGAAAAGAGGAATAGAGCGCAAGAGA